CCTTATCAGCATCATTTTCTTCCTCATCATCAATCATCATCTACCTCATCATCTTCTTTCCCCTCATCAACCGCATCATCCTCATCCTCATTCTTCTTCATCACCATAATCATAATCATCATTACCACCATCCTGGTTACTGTCATCATCATCATCATCATCATCATCATCATTACCATCATCATTTTCATCATTATCCTCTTCATCATCATCATCATCATCATGAGGATGATGATGATGAGGACAAGAATGAAGATGAGAACGATAGTGAGGATGAGATGGATGATTCTCATCATTCATCATCATCATCATTCTCATCAATTATTTTCTATAATTCTCATCACCATCATCACGATCTTTATCATCAACAACCATTATCATCAATCATAATCACCATCATCTTCTTCCTCACCATCAACCTCATCATCTTTCTTCTCCTCCTCATCATCAACATCCTCCTTATAATGGGGATTATAATGAGGATGGGGATAACAATGAGGAAGATGATGTTATAATAATAATAACTAAAGATACTATGTTCAATAGAACATGAACCCAGTCATTTTTTAAGAGATAACCACTGTGAATTTTAAGCTCAACCTGTGTGAACACCCCATGTTTGGTAGGAGTCTGTCTAATGCAATTGGTCCAATCATTAGTCACTAGCAATCAAAATGAAAACTTTTTCTCTATTTGCGACAAAAGCTCATTCAGGTAAATTTCACCTACATCTTATGCATGAACGCACTAACCGCAGATAACTCGAAATTCGTAGCTGCTATAATAGGCATTAAGCAGGTGACGTCATTCATAGACAGGGTGAAAACAATTCTGAATACAAAATTTTAAAGAAAAAATGATCAATGGTTATTTAAGCAACCAGCATGGGACTTACCTGGTAAAATAAAGCTTAATTTATGAGCTACAATTGACCGTTCACCCCGAAGTTTAGCGACCTGTCGTTGCAGGTTTATGGTAAAAAGAAGCAGGAAGTATACCAAAAAATAAAACACTCTAATTTTAACCTTTTTCCTATGCAAAGCATAAGAGATAGTCAAATTTTGAAAGAAAAATGATCACTCAATTTTGAATTAATTGTAAAAATATGTAGATGATTATAAAGCTTAAAACATCCAGTTTCATAATCCAATCACCCCAGATTGCCAAATGAAACCATTCAAACTATATAGTCGATTCTGTGAGAAAAGAGACTTTTACTGTGTTAAAGTATGCAGCGAACCGTTCAATGGGCAGATGTCCTCAAGGTTTCATTATGATTTGATAGTGACCCTTGTTACTTTTGACCTATAGGTGAAGAGTCGCTTTTCATGTTTAGAAGCTCCTAAGGATCATTCCTGGTAAATTCGAACTAATATGGACTATTTTGAAAATTTGACCCCTATGTAATCCTAATCCCAGACTGAGGTGTAGGAGGTGTAGCCGGTTCTTAACGACGAAAATTGATTGAATTTCGTCCAATAGTTTGGTATTCGTAGCATTTTAAAAATGTTACTAGGGAGAACAAAAAAATAACCCTTTAATGACTTTTGAACGTAAATCTCTGAACACCATAGAGACCCTACCTTATGCCAATATCTGCCCAGGATAAGTCTGTGCTATGTTATTTGGGACAGAAGAAGTCTTTTATTTATTTTTTTGAAAGTGTTTTACCCTAATGACCTCTATATGACCTTTGACCCAAGCAGGAACACACCATGTATGAGAGGTGTCACCGATTATACTGACCAGGTTTGGTTGAAATCGGCACAACCGTTTGGCATTAGTAGCGTTTTAAAATGTTGCCAGAAAAAAGATAAAAATTACCCTTTAATGACCTTTGATCCCTTATCCCTGAACACCTTATAGACCCTCCCTTATGCCAATGTATATGTGCAAAGGACAAGAGTGTGCTACGTTATTTGTGAGACAAGTAGTCTTTTATACGATTTTTGGTTTTTTGACCATAATGCCCATTATGTGACCTTTGACCCCAAGTTGTGAACAACTTATAAATGGGAGATGGCACCGGTCCTACTGACCAAGTTTTAATAAAATCGGTCCAGTAGTTTGCCACTAGTAGCCTTTTAAAATGTTGCCAGAAAGAAAGAAGAAACTGCTAAGAAACAGAACCCAGTCAGCTGCTGCTGAATGGGTAAAGAAGGAAGAAATTGCTAGGAAACAGAACCCAGTCAGCATGCTGCTGACTGGGTAAGAAACTGCTCGGAAACAGAACCCAGTCAGCATGCTGCTGACTAGGTAATGACATCAGTATAGTAAGAATAACAGTACTAACGCTAATATTAATGCGAATTATAAACTGTAATTTTGTTCAAAGAATAATGATATACTATATTAATAATATTATAAAGTAACAACATAATAGTATAATAATGATGATGAAGAAAATGTAGTGTAGAAAGATTAAATATAAATAGGTTAACATTTCCTTTACTTTCACCCGATTCTGCAATTAGTTAGTACATAAATAATTGTTAACTTGTGAGAAGTAATGCAATTGACAATCTTTGTTAACTTTCGTCATTGATCATTAATGATCTCCGTTAGGAAGTAACCACTTCACTAACCTTCTCTCTAGTACTAACGGATAGGAATACCGAGAGGGCGTAACCCACTACTCCAATAATGGAGTTTTAGTGTTTGAAACAACTCTTATTATTAATTAAATAAAATAGTTGTATAAAATTATTATATAGTCTTAACAAACTTATAAATATATACTGCTTTTCTATGTACAGTATTTTTAAAACCCCAACAAATGGAAGATTTACTTTTGTGTAAGGACAAGACCGGGGCCTAGCGATACAGTAAAACACGATAGCATCATGGAGTATGGACTTGCTTTTGTGTATTTCAAAATTAAGAAAATATATAGAACTACAGTATACAGGTAGGCCTAGAATGTTTTCTCCAAAACTCTTCAACAACACAGTCAACAAGAAGGGTGCTTTGTCAGACTCTATCCAGCCTACTAGCTTATTATCGTAGTCTTGGAATTTGGTGTGTTGACGTCGTCCAGTAGCGTATCCAAGGGGGGGGGGACGCCCTCCCCCCACAAAAAGTTTGCGCCCCGCAGTTGCTCCCTGTTCGAAAACTTCGAACCAAAAAAAATTAGGCTAGGCTTATGCTCAGAAAAATGGGTTAATGTTTTCTCAACTTCCCTTTATTGACGTTCATCAAAACACATAAAATACTGCGTTCAAGAGATATACTTTAACATATCTGTCACGGTTAACGTGTATTCGGGAATCTAAGAAGGAATATTTTTCAGTGGGCGTGGCCACCGAAAATAAATTCCACGCCCCCTCATATTTTGGTCGCCCCCCCCCCACCCATTTTAATACTGCTAGATACGCCACTGACGTCATCATTCCAAATTTGCTTGGGAGGTTGGAAATTCCCGTCAGACAGGCCCAGACTCCCATCGTCCGATGCCACGATGAGGTCGCCACACCACAAATAATGATTTGCTTATCCATAAAACATTATTTTGACTGCCAATCTCTAATATTTTGGCTTAAAAGCAAAATTTTGGGCCATACTAAGCTAAAAAAAAAAATTCTCTCATAAGCCCAAGGGTCTAGTCGGCCCTGGGTTTGGACCCACCCCATCAGATCCCCTGGGGCCACCGATGAACGACTATAATGGGTAAGTATTTAACTAAGGTCTTGTCAGTTTTTACAGTTATAGAAAAAAACCTAAAAGTGACTAAAAACATAAACATGTTTCCCATACCCCGATCCAAAAATTGGTATTTTAAAGCAAAATTTCACTTTCGTTTTTTCGTTGGGTTAACTTTGTAGTAGTTCTTTAATATATATAGTTTGTAGTAAGTAATTTATATATATATATATATATATATATATATATATATATATATATGTTCTTTATTCCTGTATGTGTAATATTGTATTGAGATTGTATTGTACTTTGATAACAATAAAATTATTTTTACATTAAACACATAGTTTTTCCCAACATAATGGACGCCGTCTTGGAATTTTTCATGATGACGTCATCATTCCGATCAAATTTTCTAATGAGAGTGATGAGTAACTATATAGCCAAGTTGTTGTTACATTTCATATCCACAGTATATGTAAAAGTGACCAAAAACATATTAAAATTTATTTCCCCTACCCCCATCTTAAATAGTTTAAAATAGTTTATTTTAGGCCAAAATTTCAAAGTGTTGTAAAAAAAACTGCCCAAGCCCTAGGCATGGGGATTTTTCTGAGACACTATAGTGTATGCTGATTCAAAAAACCAAAAATTAATTTCCTTTACTTTTTTCCCGCTATAGTTCATTTCAGCAGTTTTACAACCAGGCTAATAGCTGGCTCTTCAAAGATGCCCTCCGAGAACATCTCAAAATTAAAAATCAATATAATGTCAAAATAATATTTAAAAATCGGGGGACCCCTACTCCTCTAACCCATCGGTGGTACACATCTTAGTTGACATGGTCAGCCAATCTACATACGTCACTGAACGCTTGAACCAGGGCCCCTCACAACCTAGTTACGTCACTGCTAAACGCCTATGGGGCCTATGGAATACAAACTCATGCTCCCTGCTAGAGTAAGTTGCAGCAGCAACATCAGCGAATTTTGGCATTTAAACCAACCAGGTAGGTAATAAAGTGCCTTGCCCAAGGACAAAAGTGAAATGGACTGCGCTACAACAAACCACTTGCACATTAATAATGATATGTGCCCATCTCCTACAATCATATACTTCGTCCTGCCATACAATCCTTCTCTTTACTTCCATCTTGAATGCACCTATTTTGTCAGCCACTACTGGAGCTATTTTGATGTTTTCAATATAAAGAATAAATATATGTGGGCATGTGTAAAGGAATTTTGTAGCAAACAAAATGCGAGTCCCTTTAAAGGAAAAGATACTGTACATATGTGGAGAATCAGAATATGCAGTAAAAAGTAATAAAAAATCAACAACAATCCAGTAGAGACCTTAAGTAATTTTAGATTTATACACTTTTTATTCTCTTCTTTGACATACGACGTCATAATTAATATATTTGTAATTATACTTTATATTATTTGTATTTTAACATTTAATTTCTTTACTATTTACTACAACAAATACATATCTAACTTACTTTTAATTCCGACATTCATAATTTACACACAATCTCATAAAATATTTTGGGATCGAAAGACATTTTTATCGATTTGTATGCATCTACTACTACAAAAATAACAATTAGTATAAATAATAACAAAAATATTGTTTTACCATCCACTTTGAAGATTTTCCATGAACGATTCGTCTTCATTATTATTCTTCTTTTGATGCTACTCAATCAAAACATTGATACATTCTCAACATAACAACATCTATGCAAGAATTAATGCATACAAGCGTAATATAAACATAATGGCCATACCTACACAAGTTTTTAACATCCCATCCATACATGTACACACCCCATATCCTACAGCTATGCACCACTGAGATGTATAACCTGGGAGCAACATACATTTGCCAAAAATATTGATTGTAGATAAGGATTTACAGGACTACCCTGAAATTCTACAAACTGCATTCAATATACTTTAATGGTTTTAAATTTGTAAAGCGTTAAATACAAAAAGTTTATGTGCTGTAAAAACAATGTACACATGTACGGAAATGGAAAAAAAAAAGTAACTTCCCAGCCAAGCCAGCACCCAAACAGGAGAATGGAGATAACTATACAAGGAATTGATTTAAATGAACCCTGTTCAGGAACTGCTGTATGTTTAAGTAAAAACCTATTGTTAAAATAATTATAAATCAAAATCATAATTGTTGAAGAACAATGTCTTACTGCTAAAATCACAATTAAGTAATCCTTTAACATAACTCCATACATACCATATCAATGCACATTAATTGTAGGCCCAGTACAATATTTTTCAAGCACAACTTGAAATTTATTTCAATATCAAAAGTCTCAAATAAATTATAACAGTATCTAAGATTTATTGCTTGATAAAACTGATATTCAGTTACTCAAACTTGTGACAGATGGATACTAATCAACATTTGGAAATAAAATGTGTCTTTCATGAAACCTCAGTTGAAAGAGAGAGGAAAAAAATAATGATTTTTTTTCCACATAATAAAAAGTGGCATGGCCAGCAAAGCTTGTAAGATCTCACTACAAATAAGTCTCAAGTCATTGGAAAATCAAAAAATCAGTATAGCACCCTTGAGTAAATCATACTTTACTATAAAATGTCAATTTGGGTTTTGAATGGTTTTCCTAGAATAGATACAGGGATGTGCGCATTTGAAGTTTACATCCTGGAATTCAAATAGGGTCGCCAGCATACAGTAACAGCGGTAGGAATACGTACACGTCTCACAAACACGCGTGCTGTCCCACAAACGCATGTGTTCGCGGTTTTAACACTGTCGTCTTATGGGACCATAGCAACAATATCCAAGGTCGGGGCTTAGCGGAAAGGTCCATTCAGACCTGACAACCTTATGGGTGCGGCCCACCTACCATTAGTAAACTAAATTTTACAAGCTTTCCTGCATTATATGTATAAATGCCCGAAAACAAATTAATTATAATGGTTTTTTTATATCAGTATTCAATACCTAGTAATAAAGATATATTCCCTGGACTCCATTAGAAACAAAAATGAAACAATAAACGTTAATATATATTAATCACTCAAATACCCATAAAAATAAGTCGTAAAATTTGGTATATTAAATCTATTGTAAATATATGTTGTGAATTCAAACACTTGACTGTTTTGAGGTTGTTTCAATTTTATAGCCGATTCATTACAATGAAACCGTTAACGATTCTAATTAAGATCCGTGGGTGACCAACAGAAGTCTCTGAATTTTTTAATATTTAGGTGCATTGTCAGTGTAAAACGGTCACTATTAATAGAGAGCATCAGATGAATGATATTCTTTTTTCCAAAGCTATTTCCTCTTTGTTGATAACTTTTTATTAGATGAAAAGGTTTTTTAGTGTATTTTACGAATACTGTATCTATTTAAATCAAATTGTTGAAGAACAATTTAATCGAAATAGAGGAAAAGAGGCTGACAAGGTGACATGTTTGAATTATAGGATTACCATATTAAAAAGTTGGAATAACAGGTATTTAAATATGAGAGCCTTACAATATTAAGAAAATCAGTCTAACCTATAATAAGCAAAAAATATGAATGAGGAAAAAAAAAATTAACATAAAAAATAAAATATCATAAATAGTACATTAAAATCAAAATTTTTACAGATTTATTTCGGTTATTACCTCAATAAGACCTTGCCAACAATGCACCTGATTTTGCAGTGAGACCTCACACGTTAGTAATATGCAGTTCATACAGGCTGCCATAACCAAAAGCTGATGGTTGTCAACAGCCTGGTCCTCACGAGAGCCCTAATATCCAGATTGAGAGCTAACCGTTAGCGCTAACCATCAGCACGTGTGAGAACGCCTGTTGGTTAGCGCTAATGGTTAGCAGCGCTATCGGTTAGCAAATTGAGCGCGTTTCTACCATCAACCATTCACATTTACAATTTAGAGTTTCCTATTGGTCAGCGATTCAGTCATCATATTCTTTGTATCCGGATCAAGATTTTCTCATATTGACGCACGGCGGCTAAGGGTTGCCAGTATCCGGATCCTGCTAACCGTTAGCTGCCGTGTGGGAACATAGCCATTAACTCAATGATGAGCAACAATAATTTTCAATCTAAAATCAACAAGTAAAAAGTATATTTTTTTTTATCACTATTATTATTTTGACTCTACTCCAAATTACTTATTATATCTTAATACATCCATTAAATAAAGACTTTAAAATTACATTCTTTTTCTTTACTCCTGCTCCAAAAGTATGTAACCACAGACTAAGTAACAATTTAAATAACTTTAAATTTAAATGCAACCCTAAAGTTGGACTAATCACTCAATAGAGCGCACACTGCTGTCCCACGATCCAGCGGTCCACATTTGTCAAATGTAGTTAAAAGTTTATTATTTACTATATAGGCTCATGCATACAACAAGAGTAGAATACTCTATTCTAAAAATGAAATAGATTGCCTTAAACAACCATTGGTCCATTGCTTCCAATACCTACTCAGTGTTGAAATATGAAATTTAGAGGTCTAGGGGTACCGTTGTCTTAAAAGTGTTTAGCCTCAACTCCAACCATGGTGGGCTGCGTTGGTGTGGGCCTCCTCCTGTCTGATAGTCCTGTATATTTTTACATTTCCGTAGCAGGTCTATCACACTCTCTATGTCGTACGATGAATCCAACTCCGCTACTTCTAAAGCTCTAGACGACAGTCAGAACCAATCGTTGATACATTGCGTGCACATCATCATGGCACGTCAGCTGATCACCATCAGGCAGTCATTTGATTTCCGTAATTGGTTCAAGGTGGTAAATTTAGTTAGTCAAAGATGTCATTTGGGAATTTTAAGCAATATTATATTTAAAAAATAAATACAATCTTCTGATCCCATCCAATAATTCAATTAGTATTGCTAAGCAGTTTCATTACACTTTAGCCTCAGTACACATTGCATTTTCTAGCCTCTGAGTTTTAGGCCAACCAGCCTCTCTACAATATTTTCTGGTCCCTGAACAAACCCAATTTCATGTTCGAAATGTAGTAGTTTTCACCACATAATTACATTCTATATATTTAGTGACAGTAAAGAATAAAGGCGAAAATTATGCCAACGTTTTTGAAGATAAATAAAATATATTCATTTAAAATATAATATATATTCTGATTTATATAATATATAAAAAATAATATATTATTATTATACCAATAACATCCTTGGTGAAAAAAATAAATATCAATTAGCAAATAAGAAATAGAGATAGAGACAACTATTACTGGCTTTCACACATCCTTGTATATGAGAGGAATAAAAAGATTTAAATAGAATTTAAAGTGGATTTTGGATTATACCTTAGATTGAAAAGTAATGATTTCCAAGTTGGCTTTACAATCTGAGCTGTGATTTCTTAATCTCACAACAATTTCAACAACTTTTCTCCTTATTGGTTCAAAAGACTAAATCTTAACTAAAGCAAAGGGTTAGGTAAACTAGACCTTAATCATGAAGGGATTTTGCTAGGAGTAGTGTGTCATTCACTTAATTATGTTTCACCTTCAAAGGGTGATTTATATTTTTTCAATTTTCAAATTAAAAATTAAGGAGGCATTCGCAGGTATTTTAGATGCCGTAGACATCACACCAAGGTGGGCTTATATGCAAGAGGATGATGAACAAATTGCTCAGATATAGTGCTACCCACCAAGTTTGAACTCAAAGGTAATTGCATTCAAAAGTTGACCTGAAAGTGGTCACACCCACATCATTAAAGCTGCCTGTGCAGTGTTGATGTAACTTTGTAACTTAAATCAAGGGCAGTGAATATTGCCAACAACACACAAAATAGTACACACAATGCAAGGTCCTGAAACCAACATATTAACCTAAGTAGAGTTACCCATAAATGAATCATCATAACTAAATGATGAGGAAACAGACACAGGGGACATAGGTGGTGTGGTAGGTGATGAGGAACCAGTCTTTAGCTGTTTGTAGCAAGGACGACAGACAGGTACAGGACGTTGAGAGTAGTGACCAGGTAGAGGCGTTTGCTTGTCAATGCAACGTATACAGAACACCTGTCCACAGCACCAACAATGATACTGAAAGAAAACAAAAGCAAATTTTCAATAAAAGGTTTGGATGTTGAATCATAAAGCTGAAGGATTTAAACACAGAACAGTGGCAGCAGGGTTCAACGGTGCGATTGGGATTAAGGGCTTAAATACAGTATACAGTACCAAAATGGAAGTGGTCAGACTTTTGTTGCCCACTTAATTTAAAATTTAAAAAGACAATCAAACAGGTATTGTTCTTAAAATGGAAAAAATACACTTTAAGGTTATGAGGATTATTTTCTCAAGGTTTCTGTTTCACATCTGATAAAACTCCAAAATTGTTTCCTCTAATAAAAAAAAATACTTATAATGACATTTCCATTCACAAATTTAATGTTTGTCAATGAAAAATCCCATTCAATATTTGAATTGCTTAATTTGTATAATACTTTAAAATTTAAAATTGAGATAATAATTTTCTTCTATTCTTAGCATAGACACTAATAGTGGCTGGTAATCAATTTTTGTAATAAAATGTCTGTATGTCTGTCTGTTGTTTTTAATTGGAAATTAACTCTTCATTTGAACATTTTTAATGTGATTTTGGAGGCTTTCTGTGGGTTTTTTGTCAGACAGTTCATCTTTAAAACATGAAAAACCATTGGTAACATTAGCCTCCCACATCATACCTTTCTACTAAAATGGTCAAAGGGTGTGGCACAGGAGCACTGGCGTATATTTCTGATTCTCTTCCAATCGAGACACACTGATTCAACAGCTAAGTTTAGCAGATTTGCTGATAAGATTTCATCAATTTCTGTACTGTATCTTGAAGTGTCTTGGGCACTATCTGTTGGAATCTCACTTCTGGGTAAATGACTTCCATTCTGGATGACAGTGCTTTCTCTATTTTTACTTTCATTATGTCCTTCATGATTCACTAAAGTTCTTTGAGTTTCTTCTTCACTTCTTTTATTGGCATCGTCTTCTACATTTTCTTGTTCTATTACATCATTTGTATCAGCTTCTTTTCCTAAAAGTCTTTTCAGTTGAGCAACTTTCTGTAAAATGGGATAAAAAGTGACAAAATTCTAAATTTTATTTTGATTAATTAAATTCTTAGTGCAATTCTGCAAGCAAATAATGCAACCATATCTTGCCATTAACATTACAATTGATGAAATTTCTTAAAAGATAAAAAGTTTTATGACTACCATGTCAATTACTTTGGCATTCCCACTCTAGCTATACCAATCAAATCCTTTCATATTAGCCCATTGTATTTAACACTCTATCAGCCAAACACGGAGATCCCCGTGATTCAGGTTTTTTACAGAATCCGATAGATGGGTACACCAATATGTACTAACAATTTGAACATTATATTCAGTCTGGAACATAAGTGTTTCGCTATTTCAATGTGACCTTATCTCAGTGACCTCATATTGCAGTTATACTGAAACATGTTTATCTCAGCTTCATTGTGTGAATATGCTTAAAACAACAAAAGTGAGTCACATTCATTTTACGGTTACGGGCCACAGATTGTGATTAGAATAAAGTGTTTGGTACTATTGAAAAGCTAAGATGTTGCAGTTCTTGTAGTATTTATTACATATCAATCTGATCACATACACACTCTCAACAAGTTTCCAAAAAGTGTTAAAATTCTCTAAAAAGTCTGGCAGTGGCTGGTACTATTTTTTTTTAAACCCCTGGCAGTCAAAGTGTTATATATTATTATATTGGATTCTCTGCAGATATTTGTCCTGTTGTAATGTGTAATGATGATTGAAGCAACTAAACTGAAACATAGAGATACTATATTTTTAGAATAATGTACATAGTGTACTGTAAGTTTTTATTATTACCATTACAGGCGTGGCATAATGGAGGGACCTATGGGGTCCAAGTCAAGGAAAAAACATTTTGTCAGGGAGAAAAAGAAATTATATGTAATTGTTTTACATACTACAGATACAGATACAGATTAATTTTATTGTCCAATAATTTTTGGAAATTACATTGCTCACTTAATTGCTATATAATTAATTATCTTCTTGAATACCTTAAATTATACTCCCTTATCCCTGGGTAAAATGAGTACGTGTAACGGTCCGTGTGCTCACCCACTGTCCTCATTCTACCATTTCTGCTTATGCGGGAGCCGATCATATATGCGTGGAGCGGATGGCTGTTGTCCTCTTGCCGTTCATGGTAGAATGAGTCCAGTGACTGCACTGGCGAAGCAATAACTTTCCCCACCCTACCTAGCACCTTTTCTATTCTCTCTTTATCCCCTTTACTAATATTCCCAGCCCACCCTAACATACAATACCCCCAAACAGAAAACATCACCGATATGTAGAACATCAGACATATGTCCTGCTTAACCCCAAAAGAACCTAGTTTTCTAAGACAAGAGTCTACTATTTAATTTCTTAACTACATAATCAGTATGGTCCCTCCAACAAAGTTTATTGTTAAACACCACCCCAAGATACTTATAAGAATCAACAATCTCCACTTCTTGACCATTAATTTTTACTTTATTCGGAACAGTTCTGCTATTCTTCCTGAAATCAATGTGCATTTCTTTTGTCTTATTTATGTTTAATTCAAGGAAATTATTTTCACAAAACTCAGTGAATCTAAAAATTTCAGAAATATACAGGGAATAATCATTATTTATGAGACCAATCAATGCCGAGTCATCCGCAAATTTGATCATTGGACAACTCGACAAAAGTAGATTTAAAGTCTGACGTGTAAATCGCAAACAAGAAAGGGGCCAAAACAGTAATACTATTACTCAAAATCGATTAAATAAGCCTTTAAAACCCCTAAATTGTCTGGACCACTTTTCAAAGATTTTGAGCGGTGCCCAACAACATTCACTTACACTCGTCAGTGACATTGAACCCCTCACTGGGCAAATCCTGGCACCATCATTGTAATATCTTTATTAGTATATAACAGTGTAATATGATAATACATACAAGTATTTGTGGTTGAGTAAGCTTAGCTTAATTGCAGTTTTCATATAGTTTATATTGAAAGAAATCTGAAATCATTTAATAAAGTGACTTACATCTTCAAGGAATTGTTTGTGATCAGCGAGTGAAGATGTGCGATCCTTCATCGCACTCATTACATCTTGTAGTGATTCCCGTGGATGAAGACCATTTTCAAACCGGTTGTACATTCCACGCCAAAACCTAGTAAAATGCACGGGCCAAGAATCATTACTGTGATCTTTATTATGTGCAAAAAGCGGATGGCAAAGACAATAAAAAAAATTGTCCTATTGCTAGTGACAAGTTACTCCTAATATTTTCCCGCCACTTTATTAGACACACAATTTTGATAATTCATGATAGATATAATTTGAAAAGAGTATGTTTTCATATGTAAACTTGTTTTGATATATGGGAATAACCTGTACAAAAGGCATGGCATTGAACATGTTAATAAATTATACATAAAAATATACTAATCCTTAAGAATATTCATATATTGTGATTTTTTTTCCTTCAGCAAAATGTGAAAATTTCTTATGAATTATATTATGGTCTAAAATATGTATATAATAGGACTTTCTAACATTACAAAAGGCTGATGGGATGTTTAATCATTTTGTAATTTTAGATATTTACTTGAACATTTGTGGACTTGTATTTGGTTTCAAAATGCCCTTGGTGACCGGATGATCTCTACGATATAACGGATTTACATAGTCTGACATCCGACTCCTCATGTAACCCCACAGTGAGTACGTCCTTTCTGATAGCCTGAGGATATAAAAACAAATAGTGAGAATGACATTGTATGATTGTATGTTGCGCTGAAAAAAAGAAATTTCTACTAACTGAACTTATCGTAAGAATAATATAGGTACGTAATTGTGATAGCTTGAACTTTTTTGTTTTGGTTCCAATACAATCGAAGATGTGCAAGAATAACAAAATATGAACACAGACTAAAAATCCTATAAATACAGCAGAAAATTATCAATTATATTAACATAAAATAGATAAAACTTAAAAATTAACATGAAAAACAGAAGAAACCTAGAATAATAATAATAATAATGCTATGTCTTTTCCTATAATAAAACAGGCCCATAACCAGGTTCCTGGAAAGGGGAGGGGGATTTCCTATAAGGCATGCTTAACTCAGAAGTAAACTGGTCAAAAAAGGGGAGGGGGAATGTTAAATCCTCCCTGGTTATGGGCCTGTAAATCCAAACTGAAAGACATTGTTTACTTAAGTGGATGGGATGTACATACTTGCTCTCCGTCCGTTTCTTTTCACAGTTACCAAGGAATGTTCCAAATTGGCAAGAGTAGACATGGTCATGAACCTCCAGTAAAAATCGTTCATTAAACTGGAATGCACATGGAAACTGTTCCATCAGATGCCAAACACCCTCTATAAACTGTGTGAATACTGGTGATTGTTCTTTTGAATCGCAATTTATCAATCCACATCTGTCAAGAAATTTATGGCCAAAAGCCAACCATTCTTTTTCCACAAGAACCTGCAATGAAAGGGTGAATTATGAAAACATGATCTCTAAATACGAATAACTATATTGAAACTTTTTATCCAAATGATGAAGATTGTTGATGATGACGACGATGATGATGATGATAATGATGATGGTAACAAATCCATTATGGTCTTTAAAATCACCTGGAAACCTTGAATGGTTCGGTAGTAAGGATCCAGAATCATGCCAGCAAGGGAGCAAGTCTGAGCTGTGCGATCCCAACCATCAGAGCAGTGAACTAGCACACTAACAGCCTCTTCTGATACAGCCTACAAGAAAACACACATGTACATATTAACTGATATTAATATTATTCATTTATACACAAACTATGGAGATGTGGAAATACACTTAACCACCCCTACTACTACTGAGATACTAAGTCACATAACACCATCATAAAAACTAGGGTGAAAGGTCTTTTATGACAGATTCTCCAAGCCGGGAAATATTTCATTATACATTTTTCTATTTAATTATAATAGTAATAATAAATTCATAAAAAACCTCACATTAAAAAAGATCCATATTTATACATCGATTAAGTAAAAAGAAGCAGAAAAAACTGTCAATCTGAATTCACAAGCCAAAAACACTTGTATGTTCAAAAATTTCAGTGGCTTACTGGAGTCTTGAAATGGAAGGGAGTTTGCAAAGGTGGACTTGATGGGGGAAGGACTCAATGATTAGATGAGGGGGCACAAAATGAGGTAATTACTTCTTGAGCATGATTTTTTAAGCTTTGGATTTTTGTTTCGAGGGGAGAAAACTGGGGAGGAGGAGCACTGGGCACTCTACATACGCCACTGACAAATTTGATACCTAACCATGAATGATGGCAGGAATTGAAAACAGATTGCAGATGACTAATTATCATCATCATTTAAAATCTATTGTTCTCACACACTGTAGAAAACTGAGCAATGATATACACCGCAAGACCAGGTAGTGCGGTCTACCGCCACACCTGGATCAAGACTGAGTCTGCAGAGGTCACCACTAAACCACATGGCCATTGTTTGTTGACAGTGAAGCCTAAGATCTTGCATTGAATTAGCTGTTATATATTAATTCAGGTTTTCAATTCGTAACTAAAATTTCCTCGTACCTTAGCTATGAACAATGAGGTATCCATCACAGCTTTGATATGTTTCAGCCAACCACTGCTTTCAAGACCACTTAACACAGCTTCCATAGTTGGATTCTTATATTCACATACTGAAAGATAATCAAAACATCTTTGATTAGTTACTTGTAAATCCATAGTGTTCTGTTTGTGATATGTTCCCATGAAACCTGGACAAAGCAGCAAAACATTAAAGATGTTGTTTTTTTTTAATAGTATTTAAAAGTTTGAAAGGCAAATGGGAAAAACCCATAAAACCGCAAACGGCCATACAATGCAAAACAATTTAAAATTAAAACGGAACAGTAGAGAAAATCCGATCAGAAAGACAAAATAAACTAAGAATCCACTGGAAGGAATCCCAATATCTGCAGACGGATCCGTTTTGGCATTCTAGGCCTCATCAGTGCAGCTAGGGTACAGACCCAAACGAAACGTTCGACCAGCTTAGGTAGGGCCCAAACTAGTCCCATGACCACTAATGATTACAGAGCCAAACCAAGGCAATATATATACACAGCCCAGGTGTGAATGCAAATAGTGGAATACAAGCTATGCGGCTGGGTTCCAGTAGATACAGAGAATATTTTGTCATTCTTAACGCGTCCTACTAAATTCTTACGAGACAGCACTAGTCCTCGAATTTGTGAACAAGATCGGAGATCTAAAGATGCAATCTCTACCGTGCATCAATGGCGGCGCTGGATCTCATTAGAGATTCTTAAATAATATATAAGTTTGAAAGGCAAATGGGAAAAACCCATAAAACAGCAAACGGCCATATAATGCAAAACAATTTAAAATTAAAACGGAACAGTAGAGAAAATCCGATCAGAATGACAAAATAAACTAAGTATCCACTGGAAGGAATCCCAATATCTGCAGACGGATCCGTTTCGGCCTTCTAGGCCTCATCAGTGCAGCTAGGGTACAGACTCAAACGAAACGTTTGACCAGCTTAGGTAGGGCTCAAACTAGTCCCACGACCACTAATGATTACAGAGCCAAACCAAGGCAATATATATATACACAGCCCAGGTGTGAATGCAAATAGTGGAATACAAGCTATGCGGCTGGGTTCCAGTAGATACAAAGAATATTTTGTCATTCTTAACGCGTCCTACAAAATTCTTACGAGACAGCACTAGTCCGCGAATTTGTGAACAAGATCGGAGATAACGGAAATAAATTGATATTAACATACCCCCAATATTTTGTTTTTAGTGATATTTAAAATATCTGATATGTCTTACGTTTTCCCCGGTATATCGACCACCCATAAAACCTCTCTGTTGTTCGTTTAATATTTTGGGGAGAACGGTTTTTATCCTCTCAGCAATACATAACGAGCCAAGTTTATACGACACGTTTAATAAAGAAATTGGCCTTCAATTTGATAACAGAGTTATTACTCCATGTCGTCGTGTTACCGATAGTTTTGCGATATCATATGCGTAATTTAGAGATCTTTTTAAAAAAGTGCCAATTTGATTGAAAAAACCTTATAGACTTTGTATGTAAAACCCATCTAGACCTGGCAATTTATTATTTTTACTTGTTCTTAGAATGACATATATTATCTTATTGGGATTATTAGTTTCCTTAAAAGACAGGTTCCGGAGGAAGGAAAGAAATTTATATGCTGTACAACTATTTTTTATACGACACAATATTTAAAAAATAGGGGTAAAAGGGGTGACGTAACCACCATTTTTTTTCACCTCAGAAAAATCAATTGTACAACTATACGTTTTCCTCCGGAGCCTTGCTTTAATTAATGAGCAATTGAATTTGAAGTATCAATATTAGCAAAATAGACTCCCAGCGGGAGCGTGTGTCTATGCCCTATATTGCCTTACTGTATTATGTTTACAAATAAAGTATCCAGATAGGATTCTAATCAGTAAACGTGTTGTTTTGTATTTTTTTTTAATGACTTTTCTACAGTAATAAGATGACACATGGTCCATCATGCACCTCCACCGGATTTACCCGAAGGTGCAGACACAAAAATAGCTGAAAACCTAAGTGTGCACAGAAACGTTGCACAGTTAATGCATGATTGCACACAGAGTGAACAGTTACAAAATGCATATAGCAACTAAAATAATTCTGGGTTTTTTAAACACAGCTGGAGAACCTATATAGTAGAAAGTTTCTGGTCTTTCACACATCTCATTATGAGGCTTTGTGAGTGGAGCTGTTTTAGTCATCAGAAATATATCCTCCCCTGACTCCAACAAGCATAATATAAACCACCCAGCTTATACATCCATTCCAATTCTCTCTCCTCCGAATTAAGAGTGCTGTGTTTTTTTAACTTGCCAGTATCCACAAATAGTCTGAGCTGCATTACTTTGTCTCATGTAATGTTTTCGTTTCTCTCATACTTTTTCTGAAGTTTTTTTTCAAATTTTAATATTCATCTTTAATTTTGAAATATTTTGATTTTAAAACTGATGTTGAAATTTTGATTTATTATATTTGTGATTAAAAAATTTGTGAAAAAAAATTTAAGAAGGATTCTAATACTTAATGTATGTGACAATTAATAGGTTGTCTTTAAAGAGAATTAAGTTTATATATGTAATTTTTATTTTAAATCACCAACTTCATTATTATATATTTTGTAACATAAACTTGAATGTGAATTTAGTAGAAACAAAATGATATTCTAATATTTACTTTATTTATTGGTATTTTACTGTAGACAGTATACCGCTTGCTGTACTTGGAAGCAAAATATTGCCTTACCTTCAACAAGTTTCTGTAGACTGTTTCTCATAACATGTACATTCTCGATACCTATGAATTTAAACTTTATATTTGAATAGAAGTCTGTATTTTCATATCCTTTTCCTGAGGCTTTATTCACCATTGCATTAATCTGAAATGTAACAAAAACCATAACAATATTGTTTATGCTACACCTACATAAATAACATATTCATTTTAAATAACCATTAATTCATTACCATTATCAATATGGTATTGTCTCAATTGTACACGGAAGTGAAAGTAAAAGTTACAAGAAAACAAATGAAGAAACCAAAACCATACAATATCTATATCTATTGAAAACAAATTCAGATTTATATATATATATATATATAAAAAAATCAAAAAAACAATAAAATTGCTGAATTACATGTTAAAATACAGTACTTCAACATGCATTAAGGATATAAAAATCTGATAAATACCAAGTAAATCAACAAATTGCAAAGGATATACTAGTACTGCACAACATAAATACAGAAAGAGACCTACAGTAGTACCTCAAGTATAAGCATGTGCTCTGAGTACCTGTATCTGTATTTTAATTCCACCACAGAAATTTGGATTAACATCAAATATAATGAATAATTAGGAACCATACACCAGGCTCCAAAGGACTTGTCAACATACCTTAGGCCTAGTATCAACCACATACATAAAGGTGCTTTTTGGGTTTGATTTAAGTATGGCTTGAAGCATTTGCTCGTCTTCTAGACATCTGGCACTGAATCCTGCAAGTGGTTGACTGCACCTGGTTATAGTAGCCTATAAAATATATAAAATAAAAATTGAAACAGACACAATTATACAACAATACCTAAGCAATAAATAACAAAATGAAAAATTGTATTTCAACGACCAGATTGGATTGGATTGGATTTATTAGGTGTCAATACCAAGAATAACCCACGAAAGTCCAAACCGAATTCCAGTGGGTTTTTCTGATGGTTTCTCTTTTCCAAAGAGCATGCTGCATTCTTTAACATTCACGTGAGCTATATTGCACGCTGGGTTATTAACGGCTTAAACTTAAACTCATCCAAAACATAGTGAATTTTTGTATACTGTACTTGCATTTCAGCCCACAAGCAGAAACACAGGGAAAGCATCAGATAGAATTGAGGATCTCCATGCATTAGCACACACACAGTGGCTACAACAAATTTTAATTCACCGAGTTATGTTGCTCTCTAGCTGAAGACCAGAATGAGTATTTTTAATGTGGGTATCACTAGAAATGTCCCTTTAATGTAAACTTCAGTATTTATGACGAATAAAATATAAAGACTTGTAAAATTCACATTTGTGTTTTTCAAAACGTACATAATTATCTCGATGAAGATATGACAAGACTGGAAGCCGTCCTCTACTTCTAAAACTAGCACTACCAACGAGGACAGGAGTTGTGGCCGATGTAGGAACATAAATCTGCCTTGGGTATGTATCACAAATCTAAAAAAGAACAAACATTTTTGTGTGAATACAATGTATATTGCAACAAGATAATCTGAGATTACAAACCTTTGACCTGCTGTCGCGTCATATCTTTGTATACCTCGCCCCACTTCATGGGGCGAGTGTAATTACCGTAACATGCAATAAGCACACCATATATGCAAAATTCAGATTTAGAATTGTAATGTTGAGAGTTTTTAGGCAAGCCTACATATCAAAAAAGTTGTTGGATATTGTCAAATTTAGACCAATATAAAAAATGGGCATATCCCATATTTGTCACAATTTGATAGTAGAGAAAGAGCTTTATCGTCAAGCATGAAGGTTCTCGCCAGTTCAATAATCAGTTTAATATTTTAAATAATTTTCTTTTGATTGCATCACAGAAATGTGCTGATACTTGATGCTGTCAAAAAGACTTTGAAATGACCCATAATGCCCATACTACACAATTTCAGCTTACTTGATAGTTTTCGTTGATTTTCGTACGGTGCCAATTTTCATTTGGTATACCCATACGTGCGTATTCAGATTCCATGTCTAGTACATCCCAACCTTCCGAGATAGGTGTGTCAATGCTGGCTGATTTGTAGTGGAAAGCGTACAAATCTTCGAGACGCCCTTAAAGATCAATTCATTAATTATATTTAATCTGAATCTGAAACAGTGTTACACATATTGAAAGGACCACAAGGTAAAATGTGGTCCGTGAGCCACAAGCCGTCTAACGATAACTTTGTTGCGGTCCACGAAAGATAAATTAAAAACCCTGTGTGTGCGGCTCGCCAACCAACTTTGGCTAAAAAACCCCTAGTTTTTCAAGGGCCAACACCGACCATCTGTAAAAAATTAATATTAGAACTGAGCATAAAGTGGTGTACAAGAAGTCCATGAAGGGTTTGGAAAGCACACAGGAAACATAAAATTTAGGTGCGGCCCTCAGTGTTGATTCACAAGTTCAGTTTGGCCCTCCAATATGCTCCCATACAACCCAGTCATACTATATTCATACTAAAGTTTCCACCCACTGACTCCTTATTAGCAGATGCACAAGTAGGGAAGAGCTAGGCCTATATTGTGTATACGTTATGCAACACGTTTCATTTCAGTGTATTTTACCCACCCTGGTTTTACCGCAAACCCCTCCAAACCTTGTGATAGTGACTGAATCATAACAACTTATTTTTGGGGTAAAATTTTTTTTTTTTTTTAAAGCTAAAAATACACCTTCAAACCTCCAAAAACACAGTACAAAATGTTATGATGGGGTTTGCACTGTGTTCTTGAATGTTTGCGGAGTTTAAAATGGCCTTTTTACCCCAAAACTAGATTGTTATGAAGATAAAATTATATGTTTTTTATTGAGATAATAAGTTAAGTCCTACACTACGTGATTCAATAACTATCACAAGGTTTGGATGTTGTTTGCAGTGTGTTTTTGGAGGTTTGCTGTGTTTAGCAATACCCAGAAACACTTCTAATTCATTCACGTTGATTATACTGTACTGTACCTGGCCTAGATAATTTTTGCAGTGACTTGTACAGAGCTTGGCAATCTTTTTCTCTGGGGATGATGAAGGTTGCCATCTGGAATGTCTTGCAACGAATCTGGAGAGGTGATCCTGCTGTTGTTAACTGCAGTTTCTCCACAGATGCCACATGCATATGTAATATCTATAAAATTAATAAAAGTGGTCCAATACTGTAATACAAAAGCACTTAGGTTTAGAGACAGATTTAAAATGAAAGTAATGACTTCACCAGAGTGGTACAAACTTTGGCATACAGTAGCAGGAAAAATTGATTGTTATTTTACTTGACATTCATTTTTTATTTTTAAAGAGCAATCTTTAAATTATGAATTTCCAACATACTGTATACAGTAAAATAATGTGAGTCACTATATGCCAAATCAGTGTTGACCTCGAATCTTGCTTTGTAATTAAACTTGGTAATTTGTGCCTTAGTCACTAAATAAAAATCTATCAGACCATAACTTTTGAGATACTACAAGTGCAAAACCTTGTACTGTACCCTGTGTACTATAAACTTTGATTAAACTCACAACTTTCAGTGTTCTAATTTATATTACAGTAT